TAGTGATATAATATGGATTTTACTATCCTGGTACTGACTGGCAGCATTTTGTAAAAGCCGGAAATGAAATCATCAATACTGCACTTGCTCAGTCAGACAATGCCATATGGGTTGATCTCTGAATTCACTTTGAAATTCAAAGCATTTTGTTGTCAATGGTTAATGTGAAAATTAGATTCAGGTGAAAATCATTCCACAATATTTAACATTGAATGCTGGTTCTTTGAACATTACAATTTAAAATAGTTGATTTTGTACTCAGTAATATTCAGTAAAACTAAACACAGGTTCATAGTTCCTCAAATGTGGAGCCCCAGGCTGACTGGATAGTGAAGGTGGCATTTGGTATGCTTGCCTTTATTGGTCAGTACATTGAGTATAGAAGTTGTGAAGTCATATTGCGGCTGTACTGTACATTGATTAGGCAATTCTGATCTCCCTGCTAAGGGAAGGAAGTTGTGAAACTTGAAAGGGTTCAGAAAAGAATTACAAGGATGTTGCCAGGGTTGGAGGGTTTGAGCTATAGGGAGAGACTACATAGGCTGGGGTTATTTTCCCTGGAGTGTCAGAGGCTAGGGAGTGACATTATAGAGGCTTATAAAATTATGAGGTGTATGGATAGGGTGAATAGACAAAGTCTTTTCCCTGAGGTGGGGGAGTCCAAAACTAGAGGTGAGACAGGAAAGATTTAAAAGGGACCTTAGGGGCAACTTTTTCACACAGAGGGTGGTGCATGTATAGAATGAGTTGCCAGAGGAAGTGGTGGGGGCTGGTACAATTAAAGCATTTAAAAGGTATCTGGATCGGTATATGAATAGGGGGATTTTAGAGGAATATGGGCCAAATGTTGGCAAATGGGACTAGATTAATTTAGGATATGTCAGCATAGATGAGTTGCACCAAAGTGTCTGTTTCCATGCTGTACAGCTGTGTGACTCTATGATATGGACAATAAAATTAACACATGCTTAAACATGCATTTCTAATTAAATCTAAGAAAACAATGTTCAGTATCTCACATCGTAATCACTTATTAATGTCCCAATTTTTAATGTAATATCACTTTGGTTCTCTGTAATAAAGACAGCCCATGTAATTATAAAAAAAGAACAATTTGTTAAGTTTATTGCATGAGTTGTATTTGAAGCCACTTCTATGCTTGAAGCCATTTGCTGCTTTCAAAACCAAAAAAGGAAGGTTGATCCATGAGATCATCTTGTTTGACATGGAGAGCAAAATATGGAAAAACTATGACAACAAAAACAGAAATTGCTGGAAAAGCTCAGCAGGTCTGGCAGCATCTGTGAAGTGAAATCAGAATTAACGTTTTGGGTCCAGTGGGCCTTCCAAGGATTCAAAACGTTAACTCTGATTTCTCTTCACAGACACTACCAGACCTACTGAGCTTTTCCAGCAACCTCTGTTTGTGTTTCTGATTTACAGCATCTGCAGTACTTTCGGTTTTTATTTGGAAAAACTATGGATTCCTTTAGAACATCGAATGATTTGGCAGCTTTTTCATCATTGAAGTCCCATTGATCTAAAATAGGACTATCAGTTTTCAGGAAAGTAGTTCTTCCTGTACTCCAAGGAAGGCACATGTTCATTTATTTTAAACAGAAATGGGCCCTCATTGAAGATGATTTTAATTTAACCAACCTGGCAGTAAACTACTTCGGATCAGGTTAGCCACTATTTTTTTACACCACTTTTGGTTTTATTTCCTATCAAATCAAGCTGCTTATAAGGTAGGCAGGGATCTGATTTGAGTGGTTTTCCACTAGGTGAGTTTAAAAGTGTATTTTATAGGAAGACCTAAAGTAAATTTATTGTACCACCACAACAGTAAGGATATACTCTAGAATGGGAGGGATCAGTCTATCAGTTGCAATGCACATTACTATTTTACCTGACTAGCACCATTCTAAGGGCTAGTAGGAACTGCAGATGCTGGAAAATCTGAGATAGCAAGATGTAGAGCTGGATGAACACAGCAGGCCAAGCAGCATCAGAGGAGGAGGAAAGCTGACGTTTCGGGCCTAGA